TCACACTTCCTCCCCAGAGAGCTCAACCGAAACCAGGAGCATATATATTGTCATCCACAGACAGACACTTTCTCTGCATCACAGCTTATCACTGTGTCTAGACGTCCGGTTGCCTCTAGCTAGGATCGAAACCCAACTGAATTGGCGTCAGTCGGAGATTCTACCCCTAAGCCCCTAATATCATTATTTTCCTTTTTTACTAAATTTTATTATGGAAATAAAAATGGCAAGACGTGTTTTACCATTCATGATTAAAAGGAAAATAGGAAGAAGTAAAAAAAATGACCAGCCAATCGGTTTCGCCCTCACTCAACAGAGCTAAAATCGAGGGGAGTCTAAATATTGCAACATAAAATATAAAACATGAGAAGCATGTAATAAAATAAAGCTGGAAAGATCACATGGAAATCATGTCAAGCCCTAACAGGCATTCCCTCTGTTTACAGAGGGAGAGCTGCCTGAACCTGACATAGAACACATAATGAGCATGACTAAGGATTGAAAATGAGTCAGTGGCACAATTTGGATTGTTTATAAAGTGCTCAGCAATGGCGGAGCCGTATGTGTTCCAGATATTGTCACCAAATTGGAACGTACCATTCCTAATTCTTCCGGGTACATGCTGGTTCATCCGTGCGCGTATATATATATATATATATATGTGTGTGTGTGTGTGTGAAAAAAAAAAATTAGCCAATCCTCCGTTGGTTTAGTGGAAATAGAATTTTGTCTTATTTTGAACTTGGCAAATAAAAACTCCATATTTGATTTATGTCTTCAATTATTATTTCGTTTCGCATGCAAATTGAGAGTAATTTCGTAAATGCATTGTACTTCTCAAATATCAAACCAGTAATATCAATACCGTAATCTTTTGACAGCACATTTGAACTCGCTGACACATACGCGCTCGCTCACGCACCTATCACAGACCTATCTATCTATCTATCTATCTATCTATCTATCTATCTATCTTATGTTCATATTATCTATACCTGTCTATTCATCGATCTATCTATCTATCTATCTATTATCTATCTATCTATCTATCTATCTATCTTATGTTCATTATTCATCTATCTATCTATCTATCTATCTATCTATCTATCTATCTTTTAGTGTGTTCATCTATACTATCTATTCACATCTATCTATCTATCTTATGTTCTATCTATCTATCTATCTATCTATCTATCTATCTATCTATCTTATGTTCATTATCTATCTATCTATCTATCTATCTATCTATCTATCTTTTAGTGTGTTCATATCTATCTACTATACCTGTCTATTCACATCTATCTATCTATCTATCTATCTATCTATCTATCTATCTATCTATCTTATGTTCATTATCTATCTATCTATCTATCTATCTTTTAGTGTGTTCATATCTATCTACTATACCTGTCTATTCACATCTATCTATCTATCTATCTATCTATCTATCTATCTATCTATCTATCTTATGTTCATTATCTATCTATCTATCTATCTATCTATCTATCTATCTATCTTTTAGTGTGTTCATATCTATCTACTATACCTGTCTATTCACATCTATCTATCTATCTATATATCTATCTATCTATCTTATGTTCATTATTATCTATCTATCTATCTATCTATCTATCTATCTATCTATCTATCTTTTAGTGTGTTCATATCTATCTACTATACCTGTCTATTCACATCTATCTATCTATCTATCTATCTATCTATCTATCTATCTATCTATCTATCTATCTTATGTTCATTATCTATCTATCTATCTATCTATCTATCTATCTATCTATCTATCTATCTTTTAGTGTGTTCATATCTATCTACTATACCAGTCTGTTCACATCTATCTATCTATCTATCTATCTATCTATCTATCTATCTATCTATCTATCTATCTATCTTTTAGTGTGTTCATATCTATCTACTATACCTGTCTATTCACATCTATCTATCTATCTATCTATCTATCTATCTATCTATCTATCTATCTATCTATCTATCTATCTATCTTTTAGTGTGTTCATATCTATCTACTATATCTTTTCTATTCATCTATCTATCTATCTATCTATCTATCTATCTATCTATCTATCTATCTATCTATCTTATGTTCATTATCTATCTATCTATCTATCTATCTATCTATCTATCTATCTATCTATCTATCTATCTTTTAGTGTGTTCATATCTATCTACTATACCTGTCTATTCACATCTATCTATCTATCTATCTATCTATCTATCTATCTATCTATCTTATGTTCATTATCTATCTATCTATCTATCTATCTATCTATCTATCTATCTATCTATCTTTTAGTGTGTTCATATCTATCTACTATACCAGTCTGTTCACATCTATCTATCTATCTATCTATCTATCTATCTATCTATCTATCTATCTATCTATCTATCTATCTCAGTCTGTTCTTATCTATCTATCTATCTATCTATCTATCTATCTATCTATCCAGGGTATATCTTGGGTATGACGATAAACAGTAAGGCCTCTGATCGGGAGATTGGAGGCTTTGAGGAGCATGGAACCACCTCTTAGTTACTATTGTTCCCAGGTCCACCCTGATCCTGGGTGGTAGCACCTATTAGCGTTCCAGCTATGAACAAATAATGAACTCCCAAACTGGGGTCCACATATGAAAATATATTAGAAAAGATTACCAGCAATATATTTTCATAGTAACCCCCCGGCAAAAAAAAAAAACACATTACATTAGTGAAAAAGAAAATTGCCAAAGCCCACAAAAGAATATCTTTTCTGCATTAAATGAATCATAAGAAGTTGTGTATGCCGTTAAATCAAACAAACCAAATTCTCTCCCTATCAATAAAAACCGGGTGTAACAGCAAAACTGTCCAAATCGTGTAACAGCAAAATTGTCCAAATCGTGTAACAGCATAATTGTCCACCTAACAAAATGTTTAATATCTAAAAAAAAACACTAAAATAATTGAGTTTCTTTTTTCCAAGGTTTCAGATGAAACGTTTAGCCATCTTGACACAATTTGTTGTAAGGATCATTTAAAAACCCTTTCATTTATTCAGCAAAAATTAGAAGAGGTTAAAATCGTTTCTTTTTTCAGACCCCTTGTCTTCCCAACTGAGCAATGGTAAGAGGAAAAATGTCCTTCAGGCCTTTAGTAATGGTACCAACATTCATACTCTGGCTTCCATCTTCAAAGTCTATTCAAGAACCATCAACAGAACGGTGAATAAGTTTTAAAAAGAGGGAACAGTAGAGAGGAAAACTGGATTAGGGGGTTACAACAGGAAGAGGGATCACCATTTCAACTAAAGAGATCAATTAAGACATGAAAATGAAATCGTCCATGAAACATGTGAGGCATTTTGTTACTCCAGGAGAGAAAGTTAGAAGGTTAGATAGGGCGAAAATCATCTTGAATAAGTTGGAAAATGATCCTGAATAATATATATATATATATATATATATATATATATATATATATATATATATATATATATATATATCATTCCTTCATGTGCATCCGATCTTTACCTATGATGAACATAATGATGAACATACAATTTTCGTCTATGATCAATTTCATCATGATTCTTCTGTTAAGCTTGGAGAGTAATTGTGCATTCTTATTGCTCAAAGTAGATTCTAATATTGTTATAAAAACATCGGAAAATTCCATTAAGATATCTTTAATCACTTCTAAGATGCAACAGTTCAAAGCTGCTTAATCTAAGAATTGGACAATTTTGCTGTTACACCCGGTATATATATATATATATATATATATATATATATATATATATATATATATATATATATATATATATATATATATATATAGTTGGTCAATAAAACAAAGTCAAACGAAAGGGTACCGATGAAATCAGTACGAAAAATATTTACTAATATTACCGGGTGACAAAAATGAAGCAAGGAGGTTAAGGTTTCAAGTTCGGAATTTTCGAAAACGCGGATGGGAAAAATAAACGGAGGGACGGTGGAAAATATCCAACATTAGTTTTTTGAGGTGGGTACCACTTTCTTATATTGTAATTATCATTATTATTATCATTATTAGTAGTAGTTTTTGTTACGTTTTTATTTCAGTTTATTTTTTCCGTATCCCCCATTTTCTGACAATGATTTTCCAAAATTCGCTCTTGCATGGAGTATTGCTGGCATATATGGTCTGGAGTCCCTTCTGTTTGCCTCGGGGTTCTTGATAGGCTCCAGACGCGGATATGCGATATAATTGGCCCTGTTCTGGCATCTGGTCTACAGTCACTTTCTCACAGATGCGCCGTCGCCTCTCTCTGTCTTTTTTACAAATACTTTCATGGCAATTGCTCCGAGGAGCTGCATTCGCTGGTTCGCAGACTTCATGAGTTCAAGCGCCCTACGAGGCTGGCATCCCGCTCTCACCCTTTCACTGTCGAAACTATTAAATGTAGCCGTCTCTTCTACTCCTAGCTTCATACCTCGCACCTCTCGCCTGTGGAACTCCCTTCCCTATTCCGGTTTCCCTGATAGCTATAATCTCCAGCTATTCAAATGTAATGTTAATCGACATCTCCAGTTGCCTTGATCTATCCACTACCCTTCTCCTCATCCTTTTTTCTATCACTCCTATCTGATCTTGCTCCAAATTTTCTGTAACCTCTTGCGTCCTAGTGGCTTCTCGCCTTGCTTGGTGTGAAACGCTTAAAAAAAGAAAAGAAAAAAAAAAGGATTCTTTAATCCTTTTTTTGTAGTATTTCTTCCCTCTTTTTTCTCTTTTATTTTATTTCCATTGCCTTTTTACACTCTGATCCTAACTCGATACACAACACATCTATTTTTATATGTTTTTTTTTCACTTCCTCTTTTCATATTATTATTATCTTTATTTTTAGTATTATTTTTTTATTTTAAAAAATTTTTTTCAGTTTATTAATTCCGCACCCTTCATAATCTAACAATGATTTTTCTAAAAGAATTCTTTCACCTTTTTTGTGCTATTTCTTTTCTTTCTCTCTTTTTTGGTTTTTTTTTTTTTTTCATTTTACTTTTATTGACAATCTCGCTATGTCCCCACACCGATCCTTACTCGCAAAAATAAAATCTTTCAACACTAATACTGCCCCACCCCTGGTCCTAAGACCCTTTTTCCTCTATGTCCAACATCTCACCACCCTACCACCGACCACCAATCACAATTTTTAATTTTAATTTTTAATTTTTTCAGCGAGAAATCAAACAGGGAACGGATTTTTTTCTTAAAATTCCACCTACAAGCGGATTCTGTCACCTCAAAAACCTAATGTTGGATAGTTTCCACCCTCCCTCTGTTTATTTCTCCCATCCGCTGATGAAGAACACAGGTGTATTCGAAAATTCCGAACATGGAACCTCAATCTCTGTGCTTCATTTTTGTGATCTGGTTAATATTAATAAATGTTTTTCGTACTGATTTCATCGGTATCCTTTCGTTTGACTTTGTTTTATTGACCAACTTATCTACACTACTTTATAAACTATATGAAACATAAGTAGACTCTTTTTTCAAAACTATATATATATATATATATATGTGTGTGTGTGTATATATATATAGGGAGAGAGTACAAGAAGCTACAGAGAAGCACCATCTTTTTTGACGTTTTATAACATAGACTACAAATGATATCTGGCGTTGTTTTAATTTTTTTTATCATTTCACCCCAAAGAAGGCGATAATACCACTAAGATGCAAGGGATTACTGAAAGTGAACAAGAATGGGAAGGCTTTAGTGAGGAGAAAGAACAATAACAGGAGAGGCTTCAAGAAGATAGAAGATGGCGATTGAAGTTGCATTTAGATTTTTGAAGATCGTAGGTGACAGGGAGGCTAGAAACCGGAAGAGGGTTCCACAGGCGAGAAGTGCGAGAAAAGAAACCGCCTGAATCGAACTTATGATTACACCTAGCTATTTCAACAGTAAAACAATGAGACCTAATTGCCAATCTAGTAGTACAATTAAATTCACACTGTCGAGTTACCAAGAAGGAGAACCGGTACATACCCGACTTCCCCACGGGGCAGGATGTGGCACAGGGCTGGTTCTTATGTGTGACATTCTCAGCCAGTAGGCTCGGGCAAAAATTCACTGTAGACCCTGCATGCACGGGGTCGGGTTTGTCTACCTCCCCAGACGATACTCTGCCCTTGCCTCGTCTGGTTTCCTCATTGTCCGAAGGCAGGCAGACTCTTCAGGAAGAAGAGGAGAGCCCATTATAACAACTGCCATGAAGATATTTACAGAAAAAGCCAGAGAGAAGCCATCTTACAGCGGTGGGAAAGTGACGATGTCGAGATGCCATGTTAGGACTGATGACATTATTGATCCTTGCTTGGATTTTTGTCTAGAATAAGACAAAACATCTAACAAACCACAAGACCAGTGCAAGCCAAGGGCCTTTTCTTTGGGCCACAGCATAAAACAGTCGTTTCATTTTTGGGGAGATTTGCATATGGCGTAAAGTGGTATCAGCGAAATCGTCGTAATTACAACAGTTTGATAGATCTAAATATTTTGGTAGTGATTTAAGTCCTGCATAACGAGAGACAAAAAAGGGTGACCAGGTTGATAGCAGACGCAGAAAGAAAACTATAAAAGCTTCTACAGAATTTAGTGAAGGAAAGTGACAAGAAAGGATTAAAAAGAAAGGATTAAACATAAAAAAGGTGCGAATTGCAAATCGGCGGTACCAAAATCAAACAAGTGCGGAAATTTAAATATCTGTGAATTGTTTTAACAGAGGACAGAAAATGCGACACTAAGATCCGAAGACTTATTGGGATAGACAAGGAAACATTCTAAAAGCAGAAGACTAAGAAATAGGAAAAGTTTCGCTAGAAACAAGGAAAAGAGTATTAAACTGCTACATGATACCTGTCCTCATGTATAGCAGTTAATGCTGGACAATTCTCTCAAAGATGAAGAAGAGACTTGAAACAACAAAAATGTGGACCTACTGAAGAATACTGAGGATACCATGGGCCGAACATGTGAGTAACGATATGCAGGAGCAACATCCTGTTAAGAGATATTTGTTTTCGAAGCTCTTTTGGAGAGTTCTGGTACCAAAATCAATATGATCAAGGCGTTGTCACCTGGGACACAGAAAGAAAGCTACAAAATTTCCTACGGAAGCAAGTGAAAGAAAAAGAGAAGAAAGGTTTATAGATCAACAGAAAGAAGACAAAATGCCTGGTTGTTAGCAAAATGATGAGCCTAAAGTGCGAATTGCAAATCAGCGATACCAAAATAAAACAAGTGCTTAAATTTAGATATCTGGGAAGAATTCTAACAGAGAACAGAAAGAGCGACACTAAGATCCGAAGGCATCCGAAGGCATCCGAAGGCGTATTGGAATAGACAAGGAAGCATTTCAAAAGATAATCAGAGTACAAAGAATTAGAAAAGTTTCGCTAGAAACAAGGAAAAGAGTATTAAACTGCTACATGATACCTGTCCTCATGTATAGCTGTTAGTGCTGGACGATTTCCCCAAAGATGAAGAGGCTTGAAGAAATAGAAATATAGCTCTACAGAATGCCGCTGAGGATACCATGGATCGAACATGTGAGTAACAATGAAGTTTTGGAGAAAATGAAAACAAAAAGGAAACTAATACTTAACATCAGGAAGAGACAGTTGAGGTTTCTGGGACACATAATGAGGAAAGAGGGCTTGGAGAATCTGATACTCACGGGCCAGATAGAGAGCAAGAGAGACAGAGGAAGACAATGCATAACATACTTAATGAGCTTCAGTAAATGGGTGGCGGAACAGGGCTAAGGAAAAATAACAGAAAGACAAAGTTTATTAAGAGCTACAAGTGAAGGAAGTTGTGGAGAGCCATGATCGCATACATCCCAAAGGGACACGGCACATAAAAAAGAGTAAAAACCAACAAAAGATAGGAAGCCGGGGAGGGCCATGATCATGGGTTCTATAGCCTTGGATGGAAACTGGTCTATTGCAGAAAGAAATAGCAACATACTGCGGCCAAAAAAAAAAAACAAAAAAACGCTTCGACATGATCACGCATGACACATAAATGAACTGAGAGGGGGTGACGGACAGACGGACGTCACAGAATTTTATATTGTAGAAAATCTTTGCAATCCGCTGACATGTGTTGAAATCCTTATATTATTTAGTATTGTTCAAGTCGAGATTTACAAAATCTACGTTACTTTCAATTTCCAATCGATGAAATTTGAATAAGCTGATTTGTTTGGAAAAATACTTTGATAAAACCCCTAATTCGCAGTTTTTCGCCCCGTATTAAAACCAACTGTACTTCATACCCCCTTTACCTGTTTGTACATCTCCCCAAAATTTGGTTTCGATCGGTGAATGTATGGCTATTTTAGAGGGCGTGACGGACGTACAGACTAACGGAAATCACAGAATTTTATATATAGACTAGCAGCATGGCCCGGCGTTGATTCAAAAATCGTACGACTCATACAGCAATCGCTATCACTTGAATTAAAATATTTTTGCCCTTCCTTGCCTTTAAAGGAGTGCCCTTTGCCATGCTGATGTTGCTACATGCCTTACTTCTTGCCTATCTCACACTGCGAAATTTTTCTAAGCTCTATACTAAACATTAAATCTGTTACGAAAAAAGAACTAAACAAAATGAACACAAAACGGTCAGAGTTAAAAAAAAGACTCGTAACTGGAAAAACCGAATGAAAAAAGAATGTTAACAACAAATACTTTTTCACACCCAAAACATTTCTGCGGAATCAGAATCAATGTTGAGTTTAAGCAAGCGAATAAGCCAATTGGCGTAAAGTGCCATGCACATTTAAATTTTTCCCACTTGTGACGAATGCAGTTATCGATTTAAGTTAACATTCGTGTCAGTCAGCTGTTGGCTCTTACGCTGGCCAATAGAATTTTCCTGCCTATTCGTGGCCGAGAGCTATAGGCTCTCACTCTGGCCAGTAGAAAATGGTCACAAACTACATGAACACTATCGATGTGAGTTGGGAAATGCAATGTCGGTGTTGGCCTTCCCGCTAACTTGGAGCATGTGCATGTAAATTTTGGTGCAAATCGGTCGAAAATTGCGGCGTGCATTGCATTCGTTACACACACACACACACACACACACACACACCCTGTTACGCACTTTTCCTTTGTTCCGCTACCCTACACAGGTTTGTTTGTTTAGGTAATTTGTGTATGCCGTAAAATGGTATTAGAGAAATTTTCGCAATTAGAGTATGCAGTATATTCTTATAGTTTTGAAAGGGTTTTCTCATTATGTGTCTTATTAATTTCAACTATCTCTTTCTGAATTTGATTACCGTTTCTAAGACCGAATTTTGACGCTAATTTGATAGCTGTAAATGGATATAGAGTTTGATCAACGGCATCACCAGTACACACGCTAATTTTATATCTTATGCATGATGCGACCCTCTTAAAATTAGCTTCAAAATTAGGTCTTCAATAGTCGCAGGATACGCTAGTATATACGGTATATATTTAAAAAAAAATTAGAATTTTTTCGCGAACACACACACATATTTTGAGCTTTGAAAGTTTCAGTTAATTCGCTTTAGTAATTCAACTCTCCGAGTTTTGGTTCCTCTGCTGTGGCCTTCGGATTTATAGCATTTTATAACAGATACTTGAATTGCTGAACTTGCATCATTTTCACATCTCCAATGTGTAGCTTGCATATTGGGCTGCCTCTTTTACTCAAGACCATTCATCATGTCTTCTTACAATAATCAGTCCTTCTTTCTTGCTTTTCTTTACTATCTTGTCTGAGAGATATTGCAGTGTTCTTTATGTGTTTGTGATCAACACAGTATAATCTGCTTATCATATGTTGTTAAGACTGAACGCACTGATAATAAATCCCGGTAGGAATCCTAGTTCTCTTAGGATCGCTTCGCCGTAAAGGTTGAAGAAATCCGGTGAGAAGACGTATGTTTGTCTGACTCTTTTTAAAAAAAATGTTTTTGTGTATTTGCTCAATCCATCTTCTTGAGGGATGCTGGGAACTATTCAAATGGGAAATATTGCTAAAATCAACAAGAATATATGAGGAGAGTGCTGTAGTAATAAAAAAAAAGACTTGTTGCTACATGATCCCCAGCAGCAGTCAGCAAATATTATCGTAAAATGCTCAAGAATCCGAGGGACACTTTGACGTGGTGGTAATTGTTAGCAAACTTGTCTGGCTCGATCAATTACGACTGAACCGTGAGTTCGTTCCTCACTGGGTGCTCATTCTTTCAGCCTTGTGCCACATCTAAGCCACGCCCTTCGACGTGTTAAAATGGTTAGCAAGCATGTCTCGCTAGATCAATTACAATTGAGTAGTGAGTTCGATTCTCACTTAGTGACCTATGCTTTCGAACTTGTGTCGTATCTAAGCTACGCTTATTAGATGGCACTCCGACGTGGCGTAATGGTTAGCAATCTTGCCTCACGATATCAGTTACAACTGAACAGTGAGTTCGATCCTCAATAGGTGCCACAGACTTTCGGCCTTGTGTCACATCTAAGCTACGATTAGAAAATCATGATCATAAAAATCAGAGACAGTCGTATTTTTTCGTGGGGAAGGGATCAGCGTGTATACTGAATGTAATGCTTGAGATTTGAGGTTTTTCCCTGTCATTCGATCTGTAGCGATGGTCACCAGAGACATCAAGTGAGAGAAGCCAACAACAACTATAATAATAATAGTAATAATTCAAATAAGTAATTAGATATGATGAACGTAAAATATTAGCAAGAAAAACACAATAAAAATTCGATTAAAGAAAATAAGTGGCGGACATATTGTAAACGGAAATCATGGCGACTTGAATGTCAACAGCGGCTAAGCGACCCCTCGTGGCAGGCACAGCTATGATGTTCGCTTATCTCGGCATCGCCGTCGTCATCAATTTGTAATTTAGATGTTGTTTCCTGATTGGCTGTTCGTGTCAATGTCGGCCGGTACAGACGCGGGCTCGAGAGAGTTTGCCGTTTCAGACGATATCTTGCGTCATTGCTCTGATCGTACTGCTTTCTCTCCATCAACAGCCCAACGTCCCGTGGGAGTTAGGCAAAATATTACGGGGTCCTCAGAAACAGCGTTGCGTGATTAATATATAAATTTGCGGTTTTATATTTGGTTTTTACATTTGTTTAGTGTTTTGATTTGAATTAGGGAGAGCCTCGGAATCACAGTGATTAGTTGTTCAAGGATCATCCTAATTAGTTATATTTTGTTTCATTCATTTCGCCCGAACCCAGGCGATAAAACAAGAGGTCACTGAGTGTGAAGGAAACTGAGAAAAAAAGTTAATAAAAAAAAAAACAGGGTTCATAGCAAAGAAGATGGCGATTGACGTTGTATTTGAGTTGTTGAAGATCGTAGTTGCAGATGACACAGTGTTGATAGCGAGATACAAAAAAGAAACTGCAAGACCTCGCACAGAAAATAGCGAAGGAAAACATGAAAAAAAAAAAACCTAGTCGGAGTTAACTCCTCCTTAATTTGCTAATCGTTCACTAGGGGTCGCTCTCCCTACACTACAAATAATAGGCGGTTTCTTGCCTAGTTCTCTTTTTTTTACTTTGCATTTTAGCGAACACATTTAAAAGATGTGATCTCTCAGAGCTTTGCGTTTTGCCCACTTGTGGGAAAACGCCGTCAAACACACACACATACATACACGTACGTACAAACTCTTTACGTTCACGCACAAACACAAACGTTAATGTCTTTGTCCATTGTAAATCTTGTTGTTTAATACATATACTTGTTGTATATATATATATATATATATATATATATATATATATATATATATATATATATATATCGGTCTTTTTTTGTTTTCTTTACATATCTTTGGTTGGACTCAAAGATATGTCCTTGTACTGGACTTTATAATATTCTATCAGGAGTTACAAGCGTGTTTCTAATTTAACAACACGTAAACCCACGGTCCGCTACAAACTAAACATGAGCAGCAAGAAGACAGAATGGATGGTTGTTAGCAAATGTGTGAGCCCAACATGAAAATTAGAATCAGAGACACCTAAATTAAACAAGTACAAAAATGTAAATATTTTTTTTAACAGAGAACGGAAAGTGCAACACTGATATCCAAAGGCGCAATAGGGTAGACAAAGACGTCTTCCGAAAGCTAAGCAAAGTACAGTACAAATCCTCGAAACCGAATATCCCAAGTGTACGGTATTGAGGGTACTGTTCGGTTTCAAGGAACAAAAGACGACTGTGGTAAGCATAAAATATTTTAGTAAGATTTAGAGTTTAGGATACAAAAGGTAGTTTGTAACGTTGATTCGTTTTTATTTAAAGTGTACATTGAATACATAAATGTACAAAAAATAATTGACAACCAATAGTAATGAAAAAATTTGTGCTAAACAAATATTGTAATTTGCGAAAAAGTAAGACATTTTTTGAAATGTTTAAAAATTTATGAAAGTTATAAACTTATCATTCGTCCATTGTCAGATCTTCCTGAATTTCGTTGCATTCTTAATTTGTGTTCATGAAAGTTGTTTCTAAGGCACTTTTGACGCGAGTACGACATTCTTTCACTTTATGATTAGGCAGTTTCTTTTTGATAATTCCATTTTGTAATGTGCGTGTCTTGATATTCCAGTGATCAGTGAAACAAGGGTTTTTGTTCAATGAATTTGAGAAGTGTTTCAATAGATTCTCTGTTTTTTCCCGAATGATACTGTTTCATCGTCACTTTGATCGTCTAATACAGACTCACTACTACTGCAACTATCACTATTAACACTATCTTGAATACTGTCAAGTTCGGATTTAAAGATAAGTCCAAATTCGAGGAAGTCTAATTTGAGGTGGTCCAGATTATACTATGTTCGGATTTGGGGAGTTGTAGTGTACCTATATTTGAAAATTTTGTTTTTCAAGTTTCAACAGTTTATGAACGCCACTCATTAGATTGGAATTAGACGCTATCAAACTTTTATAGTAAACTATTTATTATTGCCAATAAATAAATGTTTGTAGTTTATGCTTCTTCTTTGTCTTTTATGTGCTGTATCCCTTCAGGGCGTGGGCGATCATAGCTCTCCACAATTTCCTGTCCTTTGTAGCTGTTAGTAAATTTTGTCTTTCCACTATTTCTCCTAATCCCTGTTCTGCCAACCATTTACACAAGCATGTTATTCGCTGCTTTCCTCTGTTCCTCTTGCCTTCAATATGTCATGTGAGTGTCGAATTCACCAATCCCATTTTCCTCATTATTTGTCTCTTTCTGATTCTATGCATCTGTAAAGGAAAACAAAAATAAAGATAATTAGTACAACTCCTGTAAACCGAACATCTGTGATGTTTGGTATTAAGGGTTCTGTTCTGATTCGAGGAAGAAAAGGCTTCATATTTATGTCAATACAAAAGTTCTAATTTGAAGATGAATTCGAATTCGAGCAAGTCTAATTTGAGGAAGTCTAGATTATGCTATGTTCAGATTTAAGGAGTTCTATTGTATTTAAATTTTCCGACTTGCTTGATTAGCGTTCTCTGTTTTTTTGTTTCTTTTTCGTCCATGATTCTGTTTCCTCATCACTTTGATCGTCTAATACAGACTCACTACTACTGCAACTATCACTATTAACACTATCTTGAATACTGTCGTTCGGATTTGAAGATGAGTCCAAATTCGATGAAGTCTAATTTGAGGAAGTCTAGATTATGCTATGTTCGGATTTGGGGAGTTCTACTGTATTAAGAAATAGAAAGAAATTGTTAGAAACAAAGAAAAGAGTACTGAGCTTTTATGTAATATCAGTTCTCCTATATGACAGAGAATGATGGACAATCACCTCAAAGATAAAGAGATTTGAAGCAAGAGAAATGTGGTTCTACAGAAGGATACTGAGGATACCAGGGACCGAATATGTGAGCAACGGCGAAGTTTTTGAGAAATTGAAAACAAAAAGGAAACTTATACTTAACACCAGGAAGGGACAGTTGAAAATTCTAGCGCACATAACGAGGAAAGACGGCTGGAAAAGTATGATACTCACAGGAGATATTCAAGGCCGGTGGCCGGGGGGGGGGTCAGAGGAAAGCAACGGATAACATATTTAGTGTGCTTGAGTAAATGGATGGCTGAACAAGATTTAGGAGAAATAGTAAAAAGACAAAAAAATTATTAAGATCTACGGAGGACAGGAAATTGTGGAGAGCCATGATCGCCTACCTCTTGAAGGGACACGGCACATAAACAAGTCGTTTTCAGGAGAGAAGTGCGAGAAGAAAATATTAGAATAGAACTTACGGTTACAGCTAGCAATTTTAACTGTAAAAGTATATAGAAATTAAAAGAATGAGATCAGTGGTTTTAATAATTACTCTCCTCTCTTTCCTCTTTTTATATATCGGATAGATAGATAGATAGATAGATAGATAGATAGATAGATAGATAGATAGATATCCATAGACTGAGACGATCATGAACAGCCTGAGATAGATAAATATATACGTGATATTTGTGATAGCTAGATAGATAATGAACAAACTGTAATAAATAGAGATTGACCTGTGATTGATAGAGGGATAGATAATGAACAAAAACTGTGATAGATAGATAGATAGATAGATAGATACGAACAGAGTGAAATCGATGGATAGATAGATAGGAACAGACTGAGTCAGGTAGGTACTAACAGACTTAGAAAATAGATAGATAGATAGATAGATAGGGACATATTGAGAAAGATAGAAACATATTGTGATAGATGGATTGATAGATAAAGGAACAGGCAGAGATAGATAGATAGATAGAATTGATAAACAGATAGATAGATATGCATAGACCGAGACAAACATATTAGATAGATATGAACAGACTTAGATGGTCTGTTCATATCTATCTATCTATCTATCTATCTATCTATCTATCTATCTAGATAGATAGATAGATAGATAGATAGATAGATAGATAGATATGAACGGACTGAGATAGATAACAACGTGTTAGTTATCGAAGCCTATTATATATATATATATATATATATATATATATATATATAGAGAGAGAGAGAGAGAGAGAGAGAGAGAGTGAGATAGATATTCCATATAATATATATTCCTTGTATATATATATATATATATATATATATATATATATATATATATATATGCAATCATAGTGAATAAACTTATTTAATATATATATATGTGTGTGGGGGGTGTTAATACACATACAACTTAAATTTTCATTTCATTTATCTATTAACTGCACAGTTAAATAAAAATGTTATTTTTATGCGTATTAAGATAGATAGATAGATAGATAATGAAAACACTGAGATAGATAGATAGATAGATAGATAGATAGATAGATAGATAGATAGATATTTAGTAGTGGAAAGTCAACTCGTGTCCGAGTACAACTACTAACACATTACTTTTGATTACGTTGGCGCTGATACTATCTCTTGTGACTTATTTGTCCAATGTGAGTCCTGCATTTTAGGCTTTTGCAAGCTAGCTTATTCCTTGCTGCAATGGCATCATAGTGCTATGACTTGTAATGCGCTGACTTCCTGGGACATGCAATAAGAAAGGAAGGCTTGGAAAATCTGATCCTCACAGGGCGGATAGAGGGAAAGAGGGACAAGTGAAAGCAACGCGTGACATACTTAATGGGCTTAAGCAAGTGGATGGCGAAACAGGGTTTGGGAGAAGTAGCAAAAACACAAAACTTATTGAGAGATACAAGGGAGAGAAAGAAGTGGAGGGCCATGATCGCCTACGTCCTGAAAGGACACGGCACATAAAATAAGAGGACAGAACGAAACCTACTTTTCAGAGCAACCACCCGAGAAACCAATGGCTCAACAGGTCGGAACTGCCAGTAACTAATTCCACTTCAAATTTTTTCCTTTCCTAGAAAGTTGTTCTGAAGAGAACTTGTGAACCTTCACTCCCTGGTGGTCGGAGGACAAATGCTACGGTAATTTTTAATTCACGCGCGCTTTTTGTGTGCTAGATGGCAGTTAGCACATGCAAGAAGGTCCGTTCGCCCTATGACAGGTCTTGTTTTTCATTCTGTTGAGTATCTACCCAACCTACACACCAGAAAAGCCT